CACTGGAAATTAGCATTTTAGGATAAGCCTCATCCAGAACCATCACGTAGATACATCAAGGAGACTGAAAGAGGTCCAAACTCGAACTGAGAGAGAAAATACCTTCCCAGAGCTGGCCAGGCAAGGGCTCTGAATGGTACCGCCGTGTAGAGGGCAGCCGCTGTGCGCACTGGCCCGGGCCGCCAGACCGCCCGCCCTAGGGGTCAGGGCGCCTTTCCAAGAAGCCAGCACAGGACTACACTTTGACCAAAAGGAGGCCACTTGAGGGAAGCATGGGGCGGGGGATTTCGGGGGAAGGGAAAATCAGAGGAAAGGGGCGCTGAGGTGCCAAAGGCAAGGGCTACGGACAAGCCAAGCTGTGCTGCGGTGCCGGTCCCGCAAGTGTCCCAGGAGCGCACGGCTATCTGCGCGGAGAGCAGGGGCCGGGGGAAGGAATCTACGTCGCCCTCGCCCTCGCCCTCGCACAAGACCCCGCAGTCACCAGGACCGTGAGAGGCGCTGAGCCCTGACTGGGGGTGGTGGGGGTGATGCAGCCTCAAGTGGGCACGGGGAAGGGGCTATGTTCCGGAGGGGCGCCCCACCCGCCGAGCGCACCCGGTCCGCTGCCCCCGCCCCCGTGCGCTCTGGAAGGGTCTGCAAGGCGACTGGAGTGTTGGGGAAGAAGGCGGGCGACGCTCGAGCTGGGGAAAAGGGGAGCATGGGGGAGGGGGTTGGATTCCTAGGGTCTCTCCGGATCTGTCCAAGTCCGGAAGACCTAGCTACCAAGGACTAGAGAAAGAGGTGGCCGCCCCGTGCGGAAGCCAAGTTTGTGCGCGGTGGCCGGGGGCTGGGGTCTGGGGACGCGTTACCTGGGCACCGGAGCGCAGTCAGCGCCAGCAGGAGCCGGAGCGGCGGTGCCCGGCCCGGGGGCGGCATGGTCCTCGGCACGTGTGGGCGCGGTGTGGGGCTGCTCCTCTCGCGTACCCGGCCTGGCCCGCGGCTCCCGGGCAGCCCGGGCGGCTACTCCCAACCGCCGGGCATGGCTCGCTCCCCGCGCGCCGCTCCTCCCCGACGCAGACGCCCGGCGCTGGCTGCGCTTCCTCTGCTGAGTCTCTCCGCGCCCTCCCGGGCTCGGCCGGGCGCGGCTAGGAGCAGGCGGCCGCGAGGGCTCAGCGCCCCGCGCCCTGGCCGACTGCCTGGCACTTGGACGGAGTTGCGCGGCCCCCGCCACCGCCGCCGCGGTTCCTGCGCCCTAGCGCCCGTCCCATCCT